GTTTTTAATTCTATAAAAGAAAAGGAAAAGAACATATGCGTTTATTTTATTTATTTATTTATTTATTTTTCTCTCTCTCTCTCTCTCTCTCTCTCTCCCTTTCTTTCTTGTTGTCACTCTTTTTGGAAATGCTAAACGAAAAAAAAAAAGAAAAAATACAAGAGAGAGAGAGAAAGAGACAGAAAGAGACAAAGAATGACTTGGCCGCAATAGTTTCATGAGTCAGGGGCAAGCACGCCTTTAAATTGGAACATAAAATCTGATGTGGTTGCGAGAACGTTTAAACCAGACGTGACTCTGTGCCAGATGAAAGGAAACGATTTATTGTAAACCATGAGGAGAGATCGATCGACAATGCACACGTGTCATCCTGTACTCGGAATGAAATTGAAATTGAAAAATGATTTACGCGAACTAAAGACATTTTAACGTGACGTCGAATTCGAATGGAAGGAACAAATATAATACAACATAACGAATACATAATATTAATTTTTCGAATTGGCATTAAATGGTACTACTCTAAATGGTACTATTCTGAAAAACAATTTTTGGATTTTATCTGCCCGTCATTATCCGAATTGTATATATAAATATATATATATATAATGTTGGTATTTTAGTATATTTTTTTATTAAAAATTTTATTATGACATTTACATATGTAAAATTTAAAAAATATATATATATATATTTGTTTGGAAAATTTTTGGAGTAAAAAAAAGAAAAAAGAAAATTACGATAAATTCATCATTCATTCAGAGAAATAAAATACGAAAATAGCGTCGAACGGTTCAACAGGAAAGATATAAAATTTTTCTTAGATCTATAAACCGAGGATTATCAAAAGGATCTATCGATCATTGGCTTCCAAATATCTCACACATAAATAAACAATTGTAAAGAGCAAAATCGTATTCATGAATCAATCAAAATCTTTCGGGGAAAGTATTTTCGGACATAGATACACGATGCTCTTATCGTTTACCCTGATTGATCACTTCTTCGATACTCCTTATTTTACGTCAACCATCGATCGCAAACGAAATCATTCTCAATAGATAAATATTGAAAAGTGAAAGGGAAAGAAGAGTGCGATCAATGAGAACGTCGAATTACTTTTGTCGAATATTCTTTAATGCTCGAGGAAAGTTTTACGAAATTTTTTAATTAATTTTTAATCATCGAACCACCAACGAATAATAATCGTTCGAGATATCAAAGAAAAGCAAGGACAAATCTAAAGAACTATACGAGTATACATGCGTTTCTAAAAGGGTCTAGCGCGCTACAAGCAGAGTTTTCGATCTCTGAAAATAGATCATTCGTCGCGAGAAACGTCGAGCAATGTACAACGTACCTACCTACCTACGTACGTACATACATACATACATACTTATGTACATACGTATATAAATATGTATATATCTATGTGTACGTAAATCTACGTCAGAAGACTGAAAGATAAAGGCCCTAGGAGCGGAAAGTTACCAGAAACGTGTGTATACATATATATACATATACATAAATATATATACATATATATAAATATATATATACATTGATATATTCATATATATATACATACATATACATATATATATATATATATATATATATACATACATATACATATATATATATATATATATATATATATACACACATGGACAAGATTAAGGGTTCAGAAAGAAGAAAAAAGGATAGAGATAGCCTGTCGACTCGTATTGCTTTGCTTCGTAGAAGCGATTGCCGTAACACACACACACACACACACACACACACACAATCGCACGTAGCCTGATCGATATATGGAAAAAAAAAGAAACGCGGGAAAAGTTACATTTACAAAAAAAAAAAAAAAGGAAAAGAAAAAAGAAGAAAAAAGGAGAGATAAAAAGAAGAAAAGTTGTGAGATTAAAAGTTGTATCATTGAAAAGAAAAAAGAAAAAAAAATTATCACAAAAAAAAAAAAACAATCGTTTGCCATGAATTTCTAAAATATCCATATAGCGTACAGTTATAGCAAATAACTTTTTTTTTTTTTTTATACTTAACTACGTATAGATTTTTATACTTCGTAAGTTAAACGAAAGTAGAGATACGTTATACTTCGTCTTGTAAATGTCATTTTAAAAAGGGGGTAGTAAAAAAAAATAAACTACGAATCGGGCAAAATTATCGATTCGTATTGAACTATTAAGCCGAGTAATACGTTGAATACTTAAAGTAACGACAAAGGAGTTACGTCAAACGGGGAAATAAATTTTCGTATAGCTCGAGGACTATTACTGTATATAAGAAAGACTACATGCATATGTATATAAATACATACATACAAATATACTTAGGTATGTGTTCGTGTGTTAACGCACGTAGGCGAGAAGCCTTGCGTCGTTCGTCTTTATCAATTGAGAGAAGTAGACGCGAGGTGCCATCATTGAAAGTATCGAAACGCGGGAAATTTGAAAACTTTTAAATCGTTCCCTCGTATTTTCTC